GGAGGGAGAATGGAGGAGGGAGAGGAGGGAGAGGGGATAGGGCAGAGAGGCGTAAGTATGAGGGAAGAGAGGAGGGAGAGAGAAGGGATGAGAGGAGGGAGAGGGGAGGAGGGAGAGGGAAGAGGAGCAGGAAGGTAAGAGCGTGAACATCCGGGGGAGTCCTAGGCGAGAGCTCCGTTCCTGAAGCAAGTCTCGGGCGGGAGCCCACGACGGGCGGGCGATCCCTTGACGGGCGGGTCGGGCAGGTGGGACATTCAAGCGGGATGCCTGAGTGTGGCGAGAGCGCGATTATTACATGTAATTTGTAACGGCGTCCTTGGCGCAGCGTGTTTCCTGAGCGTCGGAAGCGCGATTTCTGAATACATCGCATGGAGGTCGCAGGCGAGAGCGCAATTCCTGAATAACATGTGATGGGCTCTCTGGCAGGATCGAGGGTCTTGATTCAATTGCGAGGAAGTCTTGATTAAATTGCGAGGAAGTCTCAAGCGGGAGCGCCGTTCCTGAGTAAATCGTGAGGAAGTCTCAGATGGGAGCGGGGGTCCAAGCTAAATTGCGAGGGAATCACAAGCGGGAGCATCGATTCTGAGAGGAAGTCTCAGGAGCGGGGGTCCTGAGTAAATTTGGGCGAAGTCTCAGGCGGGAGCCGTTGTTGTAATCTGGGGGGCCAGGGGCACAAATTGAGCACCAAGGCTTTCCTTGCCGAAAAACAAGGTGCGAGCGCCGAGAGGCACAATTGGATTGAGAAAAGATAGTCTGCACCGGTGAGGGGGGATCTACAATCATTATTCTTCAGAAGTGAGAGTTCTACAACAACAACAGCAACAACAGCAACAACAGCAACAACAACAACAACGCTTCCGCTCGAGACTTCCTTTTTTTACCCAGAGCTGGTGCTCTTGCTCGCCGCCGAACACCGCCTCCCCAATGAAACCAACGTTCCCGCTCGAGACTTTTTCCCGTTTTACCTTGGACTGGCGCGCTGCTTTTTCTCTCATCGGCGCCGCCCCCAGCAAGTACAACGCTCCCGCTCGAAAATTCTTTTTTTCCTATTCAGAACCAGTGCTTTTGCTCGCCGCCGAAAGCCGCCGCCCCAACAAAACCAGTGCTCTCGCCCGAGACGTCCATCCGTTTTACGCTGGACTGGCGCCCAGCTCTCTTTTGATTTGGCGCCGCCAACAGCAAACACATAGTTATTATATAATTGTTGGACCCTCCCAGGCGCTCTGGCGCTCTCGCCTCTGTGCCGGCTACACTTTCGTTGAAAATGAGGTTCACGCTCGAGCGGCTTGGGGAGGCGCCAAAAACGGCCCCCCAACAACAACAACAACAACAACAACAACAACAACAACAACAACAACAACAACAACAACGCTCCCGCTCGAAGCTTCCTCTTTTTTAACCCAGAGCCGGTGCTCTTGCTCGCCGCCGAACACCGCCGCCCCAATAAAACCAACGTTCCCGCTCGAGATTTCTTTCCGTTTTACCTTGGACTGGCGCGCTACTCTTTCTCTCATCGGCGCCGCCCCGCTCCCGCTCGACACTTCCTTTTATTTTACTCCGAGCAAGTGGTTTTGCTTACCGCCGAAAACCGCTGCCCCAACAAAACCAGCGCTCCAGCCCGAGACGTCCATCCGTTTTACGCTGGAGTGGCGCCCAACTCTCTTTTGAATTGGCGCCGCCCCCAGCAAGAACAACGCTCCCGCTCGAGGTTCCCTCCCTTTTTCCCAAAGACGGTGTTGTTCCTCACCGCCGACAGCCCCCGTCCCGACAAAACCGCGGTTCCCGCTCGAGACTTACCCCCTTTTTACTCAAAGCGGTGTTCCTCTTCGCCGCCGACAACCGCCGTCCCAACAGAACCAGCGCTCCCGCTCGAGACTTCGTGTTGTTTCACGCTGGACTAGCGCCCTACTCTCTTTTGCATTGGCGCCGCGCCCAGCAACAACAGCACCCCTGCTCGAGACTTCCTCCCCTTCTATTCAGGGCCAGGTCCTTGCCTCGCCGCCGACAGCCCCCATCCCCACCAAGCCAATCCTGTCGCTCGATATTTCCTTGTGTTTTATTTTTGGCTAGTGCTCCACTGGCGGTCTTGCATCGGCGCAGCAGGGCGCGGGCATGTGTTTTCGAGGCGGGGTTATGCTGAAATTCAACGGGGGAGGTGTTTGCAAGACTTCATTGGGCGGGAGCGGACCCCAACGAGAGAACAAAGATCCCCCATGATGGGGATGGTTATCATGATGGTCGCATGCTGCGTGTGGAAGCATCGCGCATGAGGGTAAAATGATTGCTGTTTTTGTTGTTGAACTCGCATTTCTGAAGAATAATTATTGTTGATCCCCCCCGTCCGGTGCACATTGTTTTTTCGAGTGAAGTGCCTTTCCCGGGGCTCGCACCTTGTTTTTTATCAGAGAAAGTCTTGAGGGTCAAACTGTGTCGTTGGCCCCTTACAACAACAACAACGGCTCCCGCCTGATACGTCTTCAGAAGTTATTGAAGAATCGCGTTCTCGCTTAGGACTTCCTTGCAATTTACCACCGGATCGCGGCTCCCGCTTGATACTTCTTCACAGTGTATTGAAGAACCGCGTTCTCGTTTGGGACTTCCTCGCAATTTACCACCGAATCGCGGCTCCCGCTTGATACTTTCTCAGTTTATTCAGATGCCGCTCATCGACACTCAGGAATCGCGGTCCCGCTACATTTTGCTTGGCGTTTCAAGCTGAATTTACGCTTCAACGACCCGCTCGCTCGACCCACCCGTCTGGGCCTGCCCGCCCGACCAGCCCGTTAGGAACTGCAGTCGCCGCTCGCTGCCCTTCGCCCGCCTTCGATGCCCCTCGCTGCCCGTACTGGTTCCGCGGTCGCTTTCGTTCGCTGCCTTTCGTGGCCCCGTTGCTGCCCTTAGTGGCCCCGCATTAGATGCCCTTCGTGGCCCCCGCTCGCAGTCGCCCGTCGTGACCCCATACGCATGCGTTTCGTCGCCCCGGTGTCGCCATTCGTGGCCCCCTCGCTGCCCTTCGTGGCCCCTTTGGTGCCCTCAGTGGCCCCGCTGTCGCCCTTTGTGGCCCCATATACGTATGCCCTGCGTGGCCCCCGCTCGTTCGCGCCCGTCGTGGCCCCATATGCATGCCCTTCGTGGCCCCCTTGTCGCCCTTTGTGGCCCCCTCTCTGTCCTTCGTGGCCCCGTTTCTGTCCTCAGCGGCCCCGTCGCTGCCCTCTGTGGCCCTGGATTGATTGCCCTTCGTGGCCCCCGCTCGTTCGCGCCCTTCGTGGTCCCATACGCATGCGTTTCGTCGCCCCGGTGTCGCCATTCGTGGCCCCCTCGCTGCCCTTCGTGGCCCAAGTTCTGCGCTCAGTGGCCCCGCTGTCGCCTTTTTCTGGCCCCATATATGTATGCCCTGCGTGGCCCCCGCTCGTTCGCGCCCGTCGTGGCCCCATATGCATGTCCTTCGTGGCCCCGCTGTCGCTGTTCGTGGCCCCCTCTCTGTCCTTCGTGGCCCCGTTTCTGCCCTCAGCGGCTCCGTCGCGGCCCCGTGTCTTCTCTACTCTTTCCCTTTGTTTTCATTTTGGTGTCGGTCGTACTCCATTGTGCGATTCCTCAGTTCCTCGCATTCCGCCCACTCCTCCCCAGGCCGCCCCATCCCACCCCAACAATCGCCACCCCTTCCCGCTCGCATGACGCATCTTTCCCTGATTATTCCCAGTCCCTCCTCCAGATTCCTCTGTGCGCCCCCCGCTCCTCCGCATTCCTCCCGGTTCCTCTTCTCCACTCCTTGCCGCTCCTCCTCCTGAGACCCTACTCTTGCCCACTCCCTCCCAATCCACTCCACATCCCCGCGCTCCTCTCGACACGGTTGCAATTCTCATTTTCCGTCTGCCCCATTCTCCCAACATCCCGTTTTTTCCATATGTCCCGCTATCTGTTACCATTCGTTTTCAAGGGCTTCGCCAACCATACGTTGCAAAGAATGAATATACCCTCCAGAAAGGGGGCGCGATCGAAGACGAAGAGGGCGGGTATCCAGGGTTTGGGATATGCATATCGAATGACACGCGAGCAGATAAGAGCGAACAGTCTTAAAATGATTGTTGTTGTTGCTTGTTGTAGTCGTCCCCCCCCCCCCCGCGACCCACCCGCGACCCACCCCGCGACCCCACGTCGCTGCGCGCACAAAGTTCAGGGCCACCTGGAGACTGACACATTCGACGCGGAAAATTAAGTTCCGAAAGGGCGTCATATTGCATATTACACACATTGATTGCACCAGCAGGCGACACAGGTGGTCCAGGTCACAAGTTGAGGTGTGATCATCGCCCACGCCGCGGCGCTCACAACATCGCCTGGCGGCACCAAGCCATAATTTCGGCGAAAAAACATTCGACGAATCATTGAGGCAGCTTTCGATTTCCAACCAAGGGATGGGGTCGACACATATTGCATACCTACTACGTACCTTACGTTTAACCGCACCAGGACGAGAACGAGGAGGAGGAGGAGGAGGAAGAAGAGGAGGAGCAGGGAGGGGCGAGTGGAGGGGGAGCGGGGGGAGGGGAAGGGGGATGATGACGAATATAATGATGCTGATGATGACGATGATGATGATGCTGATGGTGATGGCGATGGTGATGGTGAGGAGGAGGAGGAGGAGGAGGAGGAGGAGGAGGAGGAGGAGGAGGAGGAGGAGGAGGGGGGAGAAGGCGAGGAAAAGTAGGATGGGGTGGGCAGAAACAGGAGAAGACTTATGGGGAGGAGTTGAAGCACCACACCTTTATTTCCTCCCCTCTCCTCCCGGACCCTTGTCTGCCTCGCCGCCCCACCCCCTCCTCCTGTCTTCCACCCTCCCCCCCTCCTCCCCATCCCATCCACCATCGTCCACCCCGCTCGCTCCCCCTCCCCCCCTCCCCCCCCGCCCCGTCTCCCCTGCTACTTCCCCACCTCTGCCTTCCATGCCCTCCCTCGCCGCCTCCTCCCGCGCGGGGCGCGGGCGGCCCTGCGGGCGCGAGGAGCTGGCCACGGAGGTGGCCGAGCTGAGACATTGCGGGCAGTCCTCGCTGGCGGCCGCCGCCTCGGCCCCCCAACGGCGCGCCAGAAGCTGGCTGCTCGCCGCCGTGCTCGTCTGCGTCGTCGACGACGACGGCAATGGTCACGGCGACGGTGCCCAGCACGATGGCGACATTGCGACGAATACGACGGACGGCGGCGACCTCGCGCTTGCCTCTGGCCGGCTCCCCGACGCCCCAGAGGGAGGATGGGGAACGCTCGTCGCCGCAGACGGGTGCGGCCTGGGAAAATGTTCGTCCAGACGGCGGCAGGGGTGGGCGGATCTGGGAGCGGATTGCAGGCGGAGTTCGGCCGAGTGGACAAGTACGAGGAGGAGGAGGAGGAGATTTTACCCAGGGGTGGACAGTGTCCCTTTGAATCAGAATATTCGAACCAGCGAGGAGGCGGAGGAGGAGGAAAACGAAAAGGAGGACGAGGAGGAGGAGGGGGGGGATCCTGAGGGGGGGGGCAGGAGGCTGGAGGATGACCAGAACGATTGGGTTTTGAAGTGCACATGAACTGTTACAATACGGTTTGACCGCCGAAGATTTCAATCACACACACAGAGTTTTAGATGGAGCGATTCTTCATCCACATACGGTCGGCAACTTTTGGTCAGCGCGTCGTTCCACCTGCTCTGGCCCACCACGCCTCGGCGAGAGACGCTGTCCACTTTGCGGTCCCCAGTCGTCCACGTGCCAAGGTGTTCCCGTCCTCCCACCCCTCGAAGCCGAGCGACACGCCATCTGCTTGAAAGGCATAGCGTGTGGGTGGGGCCGCTGCAGCGACACGCGAAGCAAACGTTCCCGACTGTAGAAGAAATATGCTTCAGATAAATACGCGACGCTGGGGCGAAGGTTCAGCTTTCAACAAGGAGACGTCTTCCATCCGTACATATGTTGGACATGTTCAAGCTGCATGCACTTATCATCTAAGGATGGCCAGGCGAGAATTGCATGTTGACAAGGTACCTCACCGAGTCCGTGGAACGAATGGAAGCGTTTCGTACGAACGAACGTGTGCGGCGTTGGGGCGAGAGTCGAGTTTTGAGCATTACCCGCCATCCACCCGTGTGTATGCGTAAATATGATCAGACGAATGTGTTCAGCGCTGAGGCGAGAGCCACATGTTGAAAACAGCCGTCATGCGTTCGTGCAAACGATAGGAACTTTAAGAGGAATGCGTGCGGCGATGATCTGCATCTGTGTGATTGATGGGAACGTTTACGTCGAGTGTGCATGGCGTTAGCGCGAGAACCACGTGGTGAAAACCAACAGGTTCCTATCCATGCAGCTGTCGGAAGTGCTCAAGACAATTGTGCGCGACGATGACGTGAGAGCCACAGATTGCAAGTGTGCCGCCCTCAGTTTCAAGCTGTAGCACGTATCAGTTCTGGGAAAGTCTAAGACGAAACGTCTGGGCCTCCCTATCGGGACGTCTGGGGGCGCGGCGAAGAGGAGTTGTTGGCAGGAACGACGGGTGGATAAGAGGAGGAGCGAAGAGGAAGAGGAGGAGGCAAGAGGAGGACGGAAGAGGGAAACGAAGCATGAGGAGAAGGAGGTTGAGGAAGGGGGAGGAGAGGAGGACAAGGAGGGAGAGGAGGAGCACGAGTAAATTACAGAGATTGGCCAAATGAGGCGATCCAGGATGTGACCGCAGTGAACCCTTAAACTTGTACCCGCGTCCTGCAGAGAATCGAGAATAACCAACGTGGAGCCGCGGACCCCCTGGTTCGAGACAAGCTCCAGACCGCAGTCTAAAGAGGTCGGCCTGTCTGAGGGATCGTGCCCTCCCTGCCATAGCAGCCACAGCAGGCCCCTCACTGGTAGCACCAGCCAAGGCCACCCACCGGTGAAAGCTCCTGCACCGCTGGGAACGCAGGGATACCGGACCGCCAGTTAATCGTTGTATCGCTACGTTCTTCTCGACAAGCTGTGCTAGCTCGGATATCGTCGCCAAATATGTGAAACGAGTGAGAACGAAGGGCACCCGCCCCAGGGCGTGCCAGGCCTCACAAGTTCGCCGTGCGGCCGCCTGGCCCGACACCAAGGGGTCCTGCTCCCCTCTTCCGCTTGGGAGAGTACGCCAGCCACGGCGGGACCGCGCGGTAAACAATGCGGAGGAGGAGGAGGAGGAACGAGGACCAGAGTAAACCCAAGATGCATCAAAGATGCTGCAATACACCCTCCATTCCCAAGCCCCCTTCTCATAAGTACCTACAAGCCTCCCGTTTCCCTTCGAGAGGAAAAGGAAGGAAGGAGGAGGAACGAGGAGGAAATGAGGAGGAGGGAAGGGGGAGCATGGAGGGTGATGAGGAGAAGGAGGGAATTAGAAACCTCCCTCTCTCCTGGAGGGCTGGCGGCCGAAGAGGCCGGGACGGGCGTGGGCTCGGGCGCACGGCCCGAGGCACGCGACGAGTTGGCCGAGGAGGTGGCTGAGCTCAGGATGCGCGAGCAGGTGCGAGCCCTCGTGGGGGACGCGCGCGCGCGCACGCCCTGCCCTCGGCCCGTCCCCGCCGTCCTCCTCCTCCTCCTCCTCCTCCTCCTCCTCCTCCTCCTCCTCCTCCTCCTCCTCCTCCTCCTCCCTCTCCTCCCTCCTCCTCCTCCTCCTCCTCCTCCTCCTCCTCCTCCTCCTCCTCCTCCTCCTCCTCCTCACATATCTTTTTATACGTCTCGCATGCGTGCCTCACCATACACCACAGTGTTTGGAAGGCCTAGCGGCCAGTGCCGCCGACCCTGAAGGGGGACGGCGACGCGCCGGCGTGATTGCGGCGGACCGCCCCGCCCTCCCGCGTAGCCGTGGCGATCAGCTCCAGGGCCGAAACGGGTCGCTGGCCGCCGCCAGGAGCTGGGTTTGTAAGAGAATCGGCTGCCGATTGTGGTCCCCAAGGCTGTCGAGGGCACCATTGGTCGCGACCCCGAGCGAGGCGTCGGGCAGGACGTCGGGCGGGGCGTCGGCGCGGGCGGGCGCTGAGAGGATCCCCGGGCAGGGCGCTCGCGCTCAGTTCCCCCGCGACATCGTCAACTTGCCCCCCCCCCCCAGCGAGGGCGCTGAGCAGGGCCAGCGCGGGCGGGGGTCGGGTCGCCGGCTGCCGTCGGGGCCAGGCTTCGGCGGAGCGTCGGCTGCCAACAGTGGGTCCCGGGGCTACTCGGGTCGTCGCTGGGAGGGGTACCAGGCTGGGATCTGGGAGTGGCATCGGGGGGGGGTCGGAGCCCTGGTCGCCAGTAGCGTCGTGTTCGGTCTCCCACGACAGGGCCTCTTCCACAGGGATGTCGCCATCGTTCTGAAAGGGCGCGTACCGCTGAGCCAACAAACGCCTTAGGGCGGCGGCTTCACCAGCCTGCCCAGTCACTGCTGCCGCCGCAACTTCGCGCGCGCCTTTCGCGCCTCTCGCCCCTTCCTCGTCCAGGGCCGCCTGGCACAGTTCTCGCTCTCCTGCAGGGACCCAGCCTGTTTCGTCTTCCAGGGCGCGTGTTGATGAACCAGTGTCGCGGCGCGCACGCACGCAAGCGTCACCAAACGTGCTTGGCAAGCGAACAACAGCTTGGTCATGTGCGCCGGTATCTTAGCCGCAAAAAGCGTGAACAGGCGGCTGAGAAGCATGAGTAGCAATTGTCAATTCTGGCGCGGGTAGTCGAGGCGTTGCCAGCGTTTCCAGGGCACGAGAACCACAGTGCATGAGGAGACACGGCGAAGCCACCCAGGGATGCGAATGCGGAATCGCCATTATCATCTGCTCCATTATCTCCGTCGCAAGAAACGGCACTAGACGGGTGAACATCATGAGCAACAGCCAGGATGCGGCTAGTCTGGGCGTTGTTAGCGCCTGGAGGACAACAACATTGGGAGACGCGGCGAAGCCACCCAGGGACGTGGCCGCTAAGACACCACTGTAATATGCGCAGTTGTCTTCGCCGCAAACAGCAGCAACAGACGGGCGAACAGCATCAGCAACAACCATGGCGCGGCTAGTCTGGGCGCTTTCCCGGGAACGACGACAGCACAGAATGTGCAGACAGGGCGAAGCCACCACGCGTGCCTGCTGGGAGGAGAGCGGGGGCACCTGCCGGGAGGTCAATTGACACGGTCCTGGGGTCGAGGGGACCGCCAGAAAACATAGGCGACACGCTGTCAGAAGTGGTGGCGCCCTCGAGGAGTGTAAGTGTGGAATCAGCGGCGTGGTGTGCAGGCTGAGTGGCAGAGGTTCCAGTGCCCTCCACTTCGTGGGTCTTTTCTACCAGCGCCTGCCCTCCACTTTCTTCCCGACCCCCGCCGTCGATGCCCACCGTCACGCTGTCCACGGACGCCGGCATCCTCCCACCGAGGCAACAAGCCCAGGCGGCGGCGCGGGCCGCGGGCAGCGCCGCGCCTGAGGCCGCATCCTGCAGAGCGGCGGCAGCGGCAGCCCGTGCAGCGGCAGCGACCCGAGCCGCGGCGGCAGCGGCGGCAGCACTGGAGGCAGCGCCGCCAACGGCCGCCGAGGCCGCCCCAGCGGCCGCCCGAGCCGCCTCGCGGCCAGCGACGCCCAGGCCACAGACCACCGCCGCCGCCGCCGGCAGACCGCCAGCAGCGTCAGCAGCAGCAGCGGCGGCATAGTTGTTGCCGCCCAGCGCAGCTGGCGCAAGCAGAGCGCTGGCAGCATCAGCCGCAGCGGCAGCCGCCGCCCACGCCGCCGCTGGTACCGGAAGCGCTGCGAGGCCGTCGCCAGCCATTGGCAGGGGGCCGGCAGTAGCGGTGGCATCCGAACCAGGCCAGCCGCCAGCCGCCGCGGGCACCGTAACTGCTAAGCCTGGCGGCCCGGTGCGGACGGCAGCAGCCAGGCGCTGACGCCGCCGAAAGGCAGCGCCAGAGAGGCCAGCGGCGCCGCCAGCAGGCAACGCTGCGGGGACCTGGCCTGGCGCGCACGTGAAGCGGGGGCGTGCTCGAGCCGAGATGGTTTGAGCCAGGGGCTGGAGCCAAAATGGCTACAGAAATCGCTGCAAAGACTTAGGAGGCATAGCCGATCTGTCGATAACTAAATCAGACGAAGAAAATTCAGTGGATTCACCGCCCACTGAATAAAGGTTGACAGAGTCGGGGACGGAATCGAAGGCTTCCAGGGCGTAGACTCGCATCAGCGTAGTGACCGCCAGAAAGAGAGACATACACTGGGAAGATCTGTAGGCGGCCAAGCAAACACTCAAGTTTCCCGGGGGGGGACCGAACTCGAATCCACGATCCTCGAATGCTTCTAAGTCGAGCAGCTCGTAATACTTTAACATATTCCACAGCACCGTGGCGGAGACCGAGCCCTTCCTAGCCCCCGCCTCGGAACGTAGGGCTCGACGCCAGATCCCGATCGGGTGGTACCCTTTTGTTTCCTTAACCAACAAGGGCGATTAGGACCGCTGGGTCGGCAGGATCCCCGGCGTCTCCATCGAAGAGTACATGCTGCAGAGCACCGTGAGGCTAGCATCGCTCAGGTGTTGATAATGAGTGAGGTGGAAGCCGTCGTAGAGACCGCGCTCCTAGCATATATACATATAACGGCGCACCGGGTCCGGGGGCCCGGGGCCGGGACCACGACCGCAAATGTGGGGACCGGGGGGCCCGGAGGCTCGTCGGGGCTTGCCGGAGGCCTCCCCGGTCAGACAAGACGGCCCCAGGAGCGCCCAAGACGGCCCAAGAAACTTCCAAGAGGCCTCCAAGAGGGCTCCGAGATGCTGAAGATGGCCTCCAGACGTCCAAGGACGCCCCCAAGAGGCCCCAAGAAGCCTCCAACATGCGTCCCAAGAGGGCCCCTAGACGCAAAAATTGACCCATTCCCTTCGTAAAACGTACATTTTCAACAAAGTTGCCTTTTGGGCTTTCCGACGTTACAGGACGGCCCAAGAGGCGCCCAAGACCGCCCCAAGACGGCCCAAGAAGCTTCCAAGAGGGCCCCAGGACAGCCCAAGAGGGCCCCAAGACGGCCCAAGAGGCGCCCAAGATGGCCCAAGAGGGCCCCAAGACGGGCCCAAGAGGGGGCCCAGAGGGGGACCACGAACCGCAAGCTCGAGCCTTCCGCCCCAAGAGGCCGCCAGGAGGCCCCAGGAGGCCCCTCAAGAGGCCCCAGGAGACCCCAGACGTCCAAGGACGCCCCCAAGACGCCCCAAGAAGCCTCCAACATGCGTCCCAAGAGGGCCCCTAGACGCAAAAATTGACCCATTCCCTTCGTAAAACGTACATTTTTCACAAAGTCGCCTTTTGGGCTTTCCGACGTTACAGGACGGCCCAAGAGGCGCCCAAGACCGCCCCAAGACGGCCCAAGAAGCTTCCAAGAGGGCCCCAGGACAGCCCAAGAGGGCCCCAAGACGGCCCAAGAGGCGCCCAAGATGGCCCAAGAGGGCCCCAAGACGGGCCCAAGAGGGGGCCCAGAGGGGGACCACGAACCGCAAGCTCGAGCCTTCCGCCCCAAGAGGCCGCCAGGAGGCCCCCAGGAGGCCCCTCAAGAGGCCCCAGGAGACCCCAGACGTCCAAGGACGCCCCCAAGACGCCCCAAGAAGCCTCCAACATGCGTCCCAAGAGGGCCCCTAGACGCAAAAATTGACCCATTCCCTTCGTAAAACGTACATTTTTCACAAAGTCGCCTTTTGGGCTTTCCGACGTTACAGGACGGCCCAAGAGGCGCCCAAGACCGCCCCAAGACGGCCCAAGAAGCTTCCAAGAGGGCCCCAGGACAGCCCAAGAGGGCCCCAAAGCGGCCCAAGAGGTGCCCAAGATGGCCCAAGAGGGCCCCGAAACGGGCCCAAGAGGGGGCCCAGAGGGGGACCACGAACCGCAAGCTCGAGCCTTCCGCCCCAAGAGGCCGCCAGGAGGCCCCAAGGAGGCCCCTCAAGAGGCCCCAGGAGACCCCCAAGAGGCCCAAAGGAGGCCCCGAGAAGCCCCAAATCGGCCCCCAAAATGCTTCGAACCTGCTTCCAGGAGGCCCCCGACAGGTTCAGAGGCTCCCGAGAAGCTACGTCAAACTCCCAGCGAGCGGCCGGACGAGGCCCCCCACAAAATCACAAGAGGGTTCCAGTATTTGTATCCTTCAGCGCTCTCTGGCCTTCTTCCCCCTGCCCCCTTCCCTGCGACTTTCGTTGACTCAAGCTCGCCTCCTAGCTAGAACCTAAGCGCGCGCGAAGCGCGCGCGTGGTTCTAGTATATATATATATATATATATATATATAATATATATATATATATATATATATCCCGCCAAACTTCCAGAGGGGATCGTCGGAAAGGTCTGCGAGGAAATCAGAGGGCGTCACTCTGGGCTCAGAGGGTGGTCTTCTGACCGTCCGAAGGGCAGAGTAGATCTAAACTTCAGCATCAATGAGACCCGGGGCAGCTGCCCCTCGGCCAGGAGCGTCGCATAGGGGCGCCACACCATCGGACCTTTGAGAGAGGAGTGAGCATTGCGAGCCCCCTGGCAAAGCTTTTCAGTGAGCCAAGAATGCCAACATTTCTTGGCAACTCTTTGGTAAAGTTTCGTGCAGGCCTCCAGCACAAACTTCTGCCTTGAGCGAAGGCCTCCAGCCTAGCACTAAGAACAAGGAGAAACAACGTCTGGCTTCGTCCTCAGACAGGGGCAGAGATCCAAACCACATCAAATCCGTCGCCTGTTCCATCTCAGAGTGGGGATGATGGAACAACATCAGCCAACCCCTGAGCAGGTGTTGTATTTCATTGCGCAAGTGCTGAGGGTGGTGAAGATTCTGTGGGACCCGCTCGGAGCGGATCACAATCTCGACCATCTCTGTTTCCATGCACCTCGTTTGGTCGGCAAGTTTGCCGGGAAGCATAAAGGACAAAGGCGGAGCCGCGACAGGAATAACAAGAGCCCCATACTCAGGAGATGGGGGATCATGAGGGTTGGAGGAGTATGTCATTTGTGAAGAAAGCTCTTCTCCATTCTGCTTTCTTCGCTCCCCCCTTTCCCCCCCGCCATGCCCACCCCAGATCCCCTCCTGCATCACCAGTTTCCAGCCTTCCCTTCTCGCTTCCCCTCGCTTCCTTCTTCCCTCTCCTTGCTTCGCCTGACTCCGCTCGTAAGTTGTGTCTGGACACTTCCCAGGCACTACACAGCCGTGAGGACGTGGGGGCTCCGCGAACGTACAGGAAGGGAGGAGGAGCAGCAGCAGCACCAGAAGGAAGAGGAGGATAGCCTCCTCCATCATCCCTCCTCGTAGAGATTCAGGTAACGAGCCTCTTGACATGTTCGAAGCATTCTCTCTTGCTGCTCCTTCGTCCCCGCGTCTCCCCTTTCCAGAGCTAGCAGCCTTCAGTGGGAGCCGAAGCTCTTAACCAACGGTCGACAGCACGGATCTTGCATTTTCAGCTGGCAGATGGACCGGCTTCCAGACGTCGCGCGGTTCAGTTCCCCGCCCCTCCCCCTCCTGTCCCAGGTCATTCCCCCAGCCCCCGACCGCAGGCGCAGGCGAGGGGCGGAGACGAAGGAGCAGCAGAAGCGAGGGAGGCTGGAACGCTTCGAAAATATCAGACGCTCCCAGGGGGGTCAAGGAAGTTCCTGTGCATTCTACGAGGAGGGAGGAGGGAGGAGGGATCCTCATGCTGCTGCTGCCCCTGCCTGTCCCGGGCCGTAGCCCCAGTCCCCTCCTCAGGCGCAGGCGGGGCAGGTGGCAACCGCGCTCGACCAGCGGCTCACGGCGGAGGAGCCGCCGCACACGTCGCCGCCGGCGTCGTCAGAGGAAAGAAGAGGGAGGAGGAGGGTAGAGGGAAGTGGGTGGAGGAAGGAGGGAGGAGGGGGGAAGAGGGTGGAGGCCGCGGATCCTGGCCTGCACCCTTTGCATCGGGCAACTGACACCAGAGGGCCTCCTCCAAAGCGGTGAGCCGTGTGTTCTGCGTCAGGGTGGCGGCAGCGCTCGGTGTGACAACGAACTCCGCGGGGACGCTCGCGGGGCCGAGCGCATGCACAAGGCGGCACCTCCTCGGCCTGGACAGCCGGCCCAGCTGCTGCAAGCTCAGCCTCGACGTAAGCAACGCCCACAAGGAGTTTAGCCGAGAGTCTGCTGCGAGAGCGGTCCACGAGCTCATCCCAGACATGCTCCTCTGGATTCGCCTGAGCCTGTGCAAAGACACCGCGCTCGTGCACGTAGCCAGGGATTGCCCAGGGAGCGTGGCAGAGACCAGGGGGCGCCCTCACGAACCATGTCTCCCAACTCCTATTACAAGGGCGTCATCGACGAAGCCTGTCGGGCAGCGCGCGTGCCGGTGGAGCCAGGCCGCTGCTACGGCCACCAAGATGATTTGGACGTCATCTGCGCCACCATCGCCTTGCAGCCCGCCGAAGACGCGTTTGCGCTGGCCTGCGCCGCGGCGGGTTTGCGGGGCAATCCGGAGAAACCCAAAGTCTGCCTTGGGCGGGAGGTGGGCGTGGCCGCGATCCCTGGCAGGCGGGAGGTGGAGCCACGGGTTCCTCGTGCTCCGGCACGGCGGGCCCTCGATGGCGTTGGGTGCCCGCGGCCGCCCTGGCCGAAGGCAGCCTGCTGCCCGAGGGCAGCCCCGAGGTGGCGGCCTTGGCACAGGACCGCGCCTATTTCCCGCGGTTCCGCCAGCTGCCTGCCGCCGGCCTAGGCCGACATACTGAGATGGTGCTTGTGCGGCACAAGACAGCTTCATTGGCCCGCACGTGCGGCATCCCTGCGGCCGACGCCAGCGCGCTGGACGCAAGCGCAGCACGCCCTGCCGCACAGGCAACAGCTGGTTTGGCACGGCCACGGACAGCTGTCCCTCAGCAGACGAGGCGGAGGCCAGGGGCCACAGAGCGCGGAGCTGACGGCGTCAGCAGCACACGTCTCCTCTTGGCACCTCCGCTTGCCGCACTGCCTGCGCCGACTGGGCCCGACGGACGCTGGCGGACGTGAGCGCCCTGACCGCCCTGTACCCATAAGCGCGCCGCCACCTCCCGGCAGCCACAGCCGCTCGAAAGACAGCGCTGGAGGACGCGACCGCCCAGGTGCGCGACGAGGCCCTGGCCGCAACGCAGCACTCTTGGCCACGGCCCCACTTGCTGCGGCTGCCAGCTTGTTCGCGGGTTTGGCGGCTGGCGGCGCTGGAGGGAGCGGCTGGCTACAGGCGCCCACGCCAGCGTACCCCCGCCTCACAGACGCCTCACCGACGGGATCCCAGCTAAGCCTCGACCTGCCGTTCTGCACCGGGCTCTGCCAACGCAGGCGCCCAGACGGCAGCGTCTGCGGTGCCGCTGGACCCGAGTTGCTGGCTCACCCAGAGCGGGGGGCTCGCCCGCTGGCACGACGCGGGCTGCGCGGCGTTAGCGGAGTGGCGCGAAGAATACGAGTGCACAGAGCACCGAGAGGTTTTGCCCAAGGCGCGCATGGATTTGGTAGTCCACGCGCCAGCCGCCGCGGCGCCACTCTTGATCGATTTCGCGGTCGCGAGCAACCTCGTAGGGCGCTCTGGCGAACGGGGCCGCGAGGCGGGACGGGGCCGCCGCCGCCGTTGCAGAGCTCCGGAAACGAGCTCGCTACCCAGGCGTGTTGGTGATCCCGGGAGATTCGGCGAGGACGCGGCCGCCTTCGCGCGGCAGCTCGCGCCCGCGGGGAACGCGACGTTTTCCACGGCCATCCGGCAGCTGCGCCAGTGCCTGGGGAGCATGCTGCAGCGGCACGCTGCGGGCGCGGTCCTCGCGGCCACGCAGGCGCGACCTGGGCGGGCCGCCGCCGCAGTCGCGCTGGCGCAGTCCAGGGCCGCCGCGCTGCCGCTGAGAAGGGCCCGAGCGCAGCCGGGCGCAGCCCTGGGCTAAGGCCGCACGAACGCGCTGCTGCTGAGCGCCTGGCCGCGGGCTACTGCTGACGACGCTCGCCCAGCGAAGGCCCGCTACGCCCGCTGCAGCACTGGCTGGGCGCGGTGCTGTCGCAGGGCGTGGGCTGCTGCCACTGCGCGGGCGGGCCGGCGCGGGGCGCGGCTCTGGCGCCGCTGCCGCTGCCGCCACTCCTGGCGCGGAGCGCAGGCAAGCAGCGCCAGGCCAGCTGGCGGCGCCGCGGGGGCCACGGGGCGCCGGGGGGCGGCGGGCTCGCGGGAGGGTGGGCGCAGGTGGGCCAGCCAGGCGCGAGCCAGAGAGGGCAGACGACGACCGCCAGTGCGCCACTATCCTCCTGGTCGCTGTGGCGGTCCCAGGTATGCTCTCCACAGGCCCTGGTCGGCAAACCCCCCTCGTCGGGAGCGGCTGAAGTCTCAGACAGCCGGCCACACCTGGGGGAACCGCCTTGTTTCAAGGGCGGCGGGGGTGTCTGCGGCAGACACGCGGCCGCCAGAGGAGGAGGACGAGGACGAGGACGAGGAGGAGGGGCACGAGAAGGTAGAGCAGGACTGTTACGAGGATTCGGAATGGCTCCTTCTTGTAGTCAAGCAAGTAATGGAGGACCTTACGATCCAGAGGCAAGAAGGGAGGTTCTGGGAGGAGGAGGAGGAGGAGGAGGAGGTGGAGGGGATGATGATGATGATGATGATGATGATGATGATGATGATGATGATGATGATGATGATGATGATGATGATGATGATGATGATGATGATGATGATGATGATGAGGAGGAGGAGGAGGAGGAGGAGGAGGAGGAGGAGGAGGAGGAGGCGGAGGAGGGTGAGGAGGAAGAAAGTGATATATGCTCAGAGGAGAATGGTCGTTGGAAGAGGGAATAGAACGCGTGGATGGAAAAGAGGGAAGGAAGCTTGGACAGGGGATGAATACAAGGCGTGGGAAGAGAGAGAGAGAGAGAGAGAGAGAGACAAACAAAAGAGGTGATGGGAGCAGAGAGGACGCATGGGAGACGGACAAAATGGTGCGCGTTCGCATCATATCTGACACCTAACCCACCTATTACGTGCCGTTGGCGTTCATTTCGCTATCCCTTCCAAGCTTCGATTCACCGATTCGACCGCCGATTGTATCGATCGTAAACGAGACGAGGATGGCCAAGAAACGAGGAGGATGCCCTTGCGAAAGTCGCACAACCTCTCTGGGTGCAAAAAGCGCACGGTATCGACTGAAGGCTAGCCCACCTTCAAGAAATGTTGTTTCTTGCTGGCGGGGGCGACGAGAACCGAAGGGGGCGGGGGACTCCCCTCGCATCCGGGCGTCACACTACGGGCGCTTTTGTATATTACGGATCGATCAGGCGTGGACATGGCCGAACCAAAGAAATCGTCGGCAGCCAAGCACGGGACCAAGCGAAGGGTGAGGCCGAACCAGGGAAGTCGGTGCCAGCGAAGGCACCGCGTTCGATGAATTTCCCGCCCTCGACGGGGGTCCGCGGAAGCTGGCGAAGGCGGCTCCGCTGGTGGAAGTCGGTGGAAGTTTGGCAGAATGCAGCGGTTGCACACGTGTGCCACCCCAACAGATGTCAACGCCAGCGTCCCCAGGGTTTCCAGGGGCAGTCATGTGGGGCCCTGGACGGCCAGATGCAGGTGATGTGGGCGAACCGGATTCTGCTTCCTCGTGAGAATGTGCCCTGGTGATGCGTCCGCCAACGGCGCGTCGTTGCTGCTGCCCCGTTGCGCCCGAGGCGCTGGCGAGCCAGGGCGCGCAGAGGGTGCAGGAGCTGGAGGACTCGCGGCGCCTCTGGCAGCGCTTGCTCGAAACGGGGGGACGCAAGACGAGGGCACCGGTCGTCCTCGCCGTGAACCTCGTTGCCCTCGACCCCTTCACCGAGAGCCTCGTCGTCGCCAGCCTGTCCGCCAGGGGTCGTCTTCGCCGGGCCGTCGTCTTCGCCCCGATCGTGTTCGCCATCGGGCGTATGGCGGGAGGAGGCATCGGGCGTATGGCGGAAGAGGCGGAGGCACATGAGAGTCTTGGGTGCTTCCCTATCCTCAACGCCCTTCGAGTAACTCTGACGCGACGAAGTGCCATGCGAAGGGAAGTGGGAGGAGCATCGGTGGAACAGGGAGGGGGACAAGTATGGGGAAATACTGACGGATCTAACAGTTGCGCTGGAGGTGGGGGGGATGGGCTGGGTTGGTGGGCCAGGGGGCGAGGGGCCACGAAGTGTCCTACCACGAATGGTGATGTTGGCGTCAATTTCATGTGGAAGGCCAAGCAAGGAGTTCCAATGCATTAAGATATCAATGCGTGTGTGTGTGGGGGGGGGGGGGGGGAATTTTCCCTTCGTTAGAAGTCAAAGTAATGAAAAGTCAGGGGCCCGACACACCAGCCAGTGCACAGCGCGGTGGCGGATCTGCCTTTTGATACACCAAGCGGCATCGATTAGCTCACCACTTCTGTCACTTGCCATGCCACCCCTCATCGACCCGCCCCGAGCATGGTGACGCTGCTTGTAGTCGCTTCTTCGTTCTCCTCCTCCTCCTCCTCCTCCTCCTCCTCTTCCTCCTCCTCCTCCTCTTCCTCCTCCTCCTCCTCGCACTGCGTGGGCGCTGCGTGCCGTATCGTGGTACACGGCGCTTCCCCACCTTCAGGGCACATTGTCAAGGAGCCTTTTGGATGCATACAGGGAGAGATGCAACCGGCCATATGTTGTTCGACACCTGCAGTTGGGCGTCTTCTGCTTTGCTGCTTATAGCGTCTGCTGCGCCCGTAGCAGTGTCTGTGGGACCAGGAACGAGGATTTCGCATTTGGTTGAGAGGTGGGGCCAGGCGGTCCGTAAATCCCTTGGGGCCTTGTGTCCACTCACCTTGGGGAACCAACCCAGTTGCCCATGCCAGCCGTCTCGTCTGGGCAGCGAGTCATCGTCGACGAGATCACCTCATTCTTCCCTGACAAGCTTTTTTGATGTGTGTATGCCGCTGTGTGGCCTTCACATGCTCCTCATGCTCCTCCTCCTCCTCCTCCTCCTCCTCCTCGTCCTCCCACTGTTCACCGGATCATTCCCCATCCGTTGCCAACGTATAACGCGTCTTCGTTTCCCAATCCCCTTCAGCCTTCGTCGTCGCGTGCTCTGCTCTGCTTGCACGCCGCCTATGCTCTCAGCATAGATAGGTTGCACGACCAGTGATCGCTTTCGCTGTAAGCGCCTCTTTCTGCTGCTCCTCCTCCTTCACATATGTGGCACCGTTGTTTGAGTCCGACGATCTCGTTAAAGGATGCACGACTGCGAGACGGCTAAAGTTCAGTGCGACGAACATGTAGTTACGACGGTGCGCTAGGCCCCATCCCTAATGAAGGGCATTCCTACAACCATTGACAAGTGAGGAGGGTCGTGAGATCCGAGAAGAGGGTCGGACGGGAATCAGCTAAACTTGATATATACCCGGACCCATGCTCGCATTTGACTCAAAATTCTCGAGCTGGAAGATATGGGAGTAAGTGGCAATCCTGGTGGTCCTGATCGTTTGGTCGTGCTGGCCTCATCGCGTTATCGAAGACACCTACGGCGAATCACCGCCGCCCCCTGCCTTTTTGAAAACGCCTATGTGGCCGAACGTTTTGGCCAGAGGCCTGCCAAGCTATCGGACCATGTGTTCCCCGAATCGGTTTGGAAAGCGTTCGGGGAACACGGTGGGCGAGGCTGGGCCGACTTGGGCCTTTTCTTGGGGTGCGCCAGGGCCGTCTTGGAGGCCATCTTGAGCGTCTTGGAGGCCTCTTGGGCCGTCTGAGGGGCCTCTTGGGGCCGTCTTGGGGGCCTTTTGGGCCGTTCTGGGGCCAGATTGGAGACCTCTTGGGCGATCTTTGGGGGCTCTTGGGTCGCCTCGGGCCGTCGGAAGGCCGAAAAGAAGCAAATGCCACAATCCTTGAAAAACTCTTGGGAGATTACTGATTTTGGCCTTTCCGGGCCTTCTGGAGACCCTCTTGGAGGCCTCTTGGGCCGTCTTGGGCCATCTTAGGGCCATCTTCGGCCGTTTTGGTTGGCTCCTGGCCCGTCTGATGCCGTCGGAAGCCGTTTGGGGGGCCTCTCTGGGCCGACTTGGGGCCTTCTTGGAATGCTTCAGGGCAGTCTTGGAGGCCATCTTGGGCATCTTCAAGGCCTCCTGGGCCGTCCTGAGGGCCTCTTGGGGCCATCTTGGGGGCCTCTTGGGCCGCTCTGGGCCCATCTTGGAGGCCTCGTGGCCAATCTTGGGGCGATCTTTCGGGGCTCTTGGGCAGTCTCGGGCCGTCGGAAGGCCGAAAAGAAGCAAATGCCAAAATCCTTCAAAAACCTACGGAAAACAAATGATTCTGGCCTCTTCGAGCCCTCCTGGGGGCCCTCTTGGAGGCCTCTTGGGTCGTCTTGGGCTAGCCTAGAGCCAACTTCGGCCATCTTGGTGGGCTCCTGGTCCGTCTGACGCCGTCGGACGCCGTTGGGGGGGCCTCTCTGGGCCGACCTGGGGCCTTCTTGGGGTGCTCCAGAGCAGTCTTAGAGGCTATCCTGGGCGTTATGGAGGCCTCTTGGCCCGTCTTGGGGGCCTCTTGGGCCGTCATGGGGCCATCTTGGAGGCCTCGTGGGCGATCTTGTTGTCGATCTTTGCGGGCTCTTGGGCCGTCCTGAGCCGTCGGAATGGCGAGAAGACGCAAATGCCAAAATCCTTTCAAAAACCTACGGAAAACCAATGATTCTGACTTCTTCGAGCCCTCCTGGAGGATCTCTTGGAGGCCTCTTGGGTCGTCTTGGGCCGTCTTGGAGGCGTCTCGGACGACCTTGGAGGTACCTTGGACTCTTTGGGGCCGTCTGGGAGGCCGTCTTGGACCATCTTGGGCAGACTTGGAGGCAATCTTGGAGGCCATCTTGGGCCAACGTGGCCATCTTGGAGGCCATCTTGAGCCGTCTTGGAGGGTTTCTTCTGGGATTGAGCTCCTGGGCAATCCTCCCGGGACCCCGGCGGGACGGGCCGAACCCCAGGGGGAGTTCTTTGTGGAAAAAGAACCAAAACCCAAACCGAAATAATTTAGCACGCCAGGCACCCCTGCGATGAATCGACAGGGGGCGGCGGATCGAATGGCCTTCGGCCCATCCCGCCACCGTGCCTGGGTTGCGGGTATGGAGACTATTGCACGTTCGTTGGGACCTCGTGGGAAGCTTCTCGGGTGCATTTGGGGGACAGTTTGGAGGCCTCTTAGGAGGCCGTTTTGGAGCCTCTTGGGGCCTCCTTCGGGTCTCTTGGAGCCTCTTAGGGCAGCCTGGGCCCATCTTGGCCTCTTGGGGCGAAAGGCTCGGATTTTCGGTTCGTGTGCTCTTGGGCCCCTTTGGGGGCCCTCTTGGGGCCGTCGTAGGGCGCTCTTAGGCTGTCTTAGGGGCCCTCTTGGAGGCCTCGTGGGCCGTTTTGGGGCGGTCTCGGGGGCCTCTCAGGCCGTCTTGTGGCGTCGAGAAGCCGAAAAGGCGAGAACGCCAGAATCCTTCAGAAGGAACCTTTATACAATTGAAGATTTTGGCCTCTGGGAGCCCTGTTGGGAGGCCTCTTGAGGCGTCTTGGGCCGTCTTGGGGACCGATCTTTGGGCGTCTCGGTACCCTCTTGGGCCGTCTTGGAGGCCGCTTGGGGCCCTCGTGGCCAGTTTTGGGACCCTCTTGGGCCCCGAGAAGTCATGCAACAAGGTGCACCAGAGCCCAGGGAGTACGCCGGGGGAGCCCCGTCAAAGTTGGCATTTTGGGGCTCTGGCTCCTAAGAGACCCTCAGGATTTAGAATTGAGGCTCCAGGGATTAGGCAATGGACCTGAGGACACGCCCACTCCGTGCCCAGAGGCACGGTGGCGGATCAGGGGTTCGCCCGTTTTGCCACTGACATGTCCTAATGTTACAACGTTTTGTTGGAAGACTGGGGAGCGCAATCACATCGTTAGAATAGGGGGAGAAGCCAGCGGATTCGCCTGTTGTCTGTCAGAATGTGCTCGTTCCTCTTCCGTTCCGTTCACAATTCCACAGGAAGCCCTTGGCCAGGAGAGGTCGCGCTCTGAGACGCTTGCGGAGCAGGCGCCTGCAGCTGGCGAGGAGGAGATCGGAAGAGGACGTGGAGCAGATCTAACAGCACGAGAGGTCGGGGCATGAAGAGCAGGAAGAGGGGGAGGAGGAGGAGGAGGAGGAGGAGGTGAGGTGAGGTACTGGGGACCGCCAGCGGCCAGTCTTTTCATGCCAGCCCCATACGCACGACCAGGCGAGGTGGGGCACGGCCTCCATCCTGCTCGGATGAAACGGCCGTCAGTGCCACCGTCAGGTAAGGGAGCAGGCAGCAACGCTAACTGATAACGCAACGCATGGTCGCTTGTACGTGCGCACACATGCGCGCAAGCATGCGCCTGCGCGTTGAGCCAATGCCTGGATACCTGGCAAGACATACTATCCATCTGCGTTGCCGCGCGAACACGCCACCGCGCTGCTGGGGAGGCGGTGTTTAGGGAACGGGTGGGAGGAGCCACGGAACGCCCCACAATGGATATATATATATATATATATATATATATATACCTGAGGGCGAGGCCGGGGGCCCCAGGAAAGGTGCCCCGACCCCCCATGGCGGGACGGGGCGGCCGGGGAGGTAAAAAATAGTTTAGGAGGGCCTCCAGAGGCTCCCCAGACGGCCCAAGCGGGCCCCGAGTCGCCGAAAGACCGCTCCTGGACTCCCAAGATAAGCCCAAGACGGCCCGAGAGGTCCCCCCAAGGCACTCCACGACGCTTCAAGACGTTTCTCCAGAGCGCTTCAAGTGGCCGAAATCGTCAATCTTACGAAGGTTTTGGAGAGATGTTGGCCTTCCAGCCTTTTCGGCTGTCCGACGTTCCAAGACGGCCCAATAGGCCCCCAAGAGCGCCCCAAGACGGCCCAAGAGGGCCCCCAGACGGCACCAGAGGCGCCGAAGACAGCCCAAGAGAGCCCCGAGACGGCCCCAAGATGCGCCCAAGAGGGGGACCACGACTCAAAATTCGACCCTCCCGCTTGAAGAGTGCCCCAGGAGGCCCAAAGGAGCCCCCCAAGAGGCCCCAGGAGGCCCCCGAGAGGCACCCAGGAGGCCCAAACGAGGCCTCAAGAGGCCATAAAACAGCCCCGAGGAGGCCCCACAACGGTCCCAAAACGGCGACCGAGAAGCTGCGAAACTGCCTTCACGACGTCCTCGACAGGCCAACCACGAGATCCAAACCAACACCCATGATGCCTCTGACCCACCACCTAGGGCACCCGCCGCCCGCCCGCCGTCCGTGTAGCACGCACCACTCTGTACTCAACAGCTTCAGTCTCCAAGACAACACCCTGTAGTCAACAGCCCCCGTCTTCAAGGCAACACCCTGTACTCAACAAGCTCCCGCTGCAAGAGAGCACCCTTAAGGAATGCATTCAAATCCCGACCCGCCCGCCCGCCACCCCCCCGCCGCCGCCCGCCCGGCCGCTTGCCCGCCTTCCGCGTAGCACGCGCCACCCTGCACTCAACAGCCTCCGCCCCCAAGACAACACCTAGCATTCAACAGCCCCCAGGGCTCCCAGGACTGCCCGGGCCCGCTCCCAAACACGCCACGACACGCCAAGAGGGCCCTAAAGATTGCCAAGACAGCCCCAAGAGGCCCTGGACACGCCGAAGATGGCCTCAGAACGGCCGACGACGCCGCCAAAACGCCCCAAGAGCGCCTCCAGAGGCCCCTCCAAAGGGCCCCGCATTCTTGCGCTCTCGCATGTTCCGCCTCCCCACCGTCCTGGACGGCGTCAGATGCCTTTCAGACCGCTCCAAGACGGCCGAAGAGGCTCCCAAGAAAGACCAGAGACGGCCCAGGAGGCTCCCCAGATTATTAAAGAGGGCCTCGAGAGCGCCCCAAGAGAGCCCCAAGAGCGACCCAAGGGAGCCCGAAGAGCGCGACATTTCAAGGTCTCCGGCCTGAGAGGCTCCTAGGACACCCCCGGAGGCCATGGAGAGGCTCCTAAGAAGCCCCGTGAGGCTCCCAAGAGGCCCTCCGGAAGCCCCAATAAGCCCCCAAGGGACCCCCATGGAAGCCCCCTGCGGGCCCCCAAGAGCCCTCGGTAAATCGTATTTCCCAGAGCTTTCCGGGAACATGATTCCTTGGGCTTCCGCCCACCGCCCCAACCATGTTTCCAATAGGCTTGCCGACGAGGCCAAAAAGGGCCCCACGGTAAGCCCCCAGAGGCCCCCCTCTTAAGAGAGCCGAACAAATCATGCTCCCGGAAAGCTTTCCGGGAGCATGATTCTCGGGTTGCCGCCTTCTCCCTAAACCATATTCCCTAAACGTTTGTCGGGATAAAAAATGAGAGTCACAAACAGCGCTTCCTGCCGCCACGCTCGGAAACGCGTCAGGCCCCGAAGCCTCCGGAGGCGCCCAACGACACCCCAACAAATCATGTTCCCAGAAAGTCTTACGGCCAGTGCCGCTGACTTTGAAGGAGGACGGTCCAGGACACCCAGAAGTATTCCAAACAGGCTTCCGAGAGGGCACCGAGACAGCCCAGGGCCGCCCCCAAAAGGCCTCCAAGACCAATCCAAGATAGCCCAATAGGCCTCCAACAGGGCCCAAGACAGCCCGAGAGGGCACCATACGGCCCCAAGGGGGGCCCAAGAGGGGTAAGACGAACCAAAAATCCGAGCCTTCCACCCCGATAGGCTCTCAGGAAGCCCCAGAGGCCCCCAAATGGGACCCAAGAGGCCCTCAAGAAGATCCCCAGAAGGCCGAAGCGGTTCTAAGAAGCATTGTTTTCCCATCGGCCTTTGGCATCCCGACGCCCCAAAACGGCCCAAGTGGCCCCCAAGAATGCTCCAAGATAGCCGAAGAGGCCTCCAAGAGGGCCCCAAGACGGCCCACGAGGGCCCCAAGACGTTGCCCGAGGCGCCCAAGAGGGCCCCAAGAGAGCCCCAAGAAGGGGACCGCGAACCCAGCAGCAGAGCTTCCCGGCCTAAGAGGCCCACAGGAGGCCCCAAGAGTCCCCAAATGGTCCGACGAGGCCCCCCAAAGCCCCCCACCAGGCCCCAAAAGGCTCACAGGAGACGTACACGGGGCCCCAAGATAGCCGAACAGTGCTCTCGATGCATCAAGATTTCTTCAAGGAGGCCCTGGGAGGCTTCTGGATTGCCCCAATGTGGCCGCAAGCCGGGCCTCCACGCAGCCAAGACGGCCAATTGACTGCTTCAGACTGCAGAACATCACTTTCCAACTGCCCGGAGAACCCCGACGATGCCCCCAATGGACCCCGAGAAGCCCCAAGATGCCCCCCCGAGAAGCACCCAAGAGGTGCCTCCAACAGCAAATTGAGGAAGCACGGAGAACCTCCCATAAGCCCTTCAGATGCCCCCACGAAGACCCAAGAGTTCCCCAAGAAGCCCTCAGGAGGCACGACCATGTCACGCGCCTGTGCTTGATAGCGCTGTCCAAGATCTTTAGCGCGCCCCCGGCCTGGGCTAGAACCTGAGCGCGCGCGAAGCGCGCGCGATGGTTCTAGTATATATATATATATATACCTAGACGACCACCCTTCGGGTGATAAGGAGGTTCGGGGGGGAGGAACCAACGTCTCACGCGATCCGTCTCACTATCGATCGTACTATCGATCTCACCATCGGTCTCGCTCAATCGATCTCACTCGATCGATCTCACAGTCGATATCACTTGATCTATTTCATTCGATCGCTCTCACAATCGATATGCCTATCGATACCACTATCGATCTCACTAGCGATCTCACAATGGATCTCACATTCGATCTTACGATCGATCTCACCATCGGTATCACGATCGATCTCACAATCAACGTCTTCATCATCATCATCATCAGCAGCATCATCATCATCATCATCGACATCGACATCGTCGTCATCAACATCATCACCATCATCATCGGGACACCATCATCATCATCACCTCATCACCAGCATCAGCATCATCTTCATCATCATGACCAGGACACCATCATCGTCTCCATCAGCAACAGCATCATCACCAGGACACCATCATCATCATCGAAACACCACCATCATCATCATCACCGAAACACCACCATCAGCATCATGAACAACCTCGTCATCAACATCATCATCATCTGGAAATCAATTTCATCAGCAACATCATCATCATCAACATCATCATCGGGACACCATCATCATCACCATCATCATCATCAGGACACCATCATCATCATCATCAACATCAGCATCATCATCATCGGGCCACACTCATCAACATCATCACTTCATCCTCATCATCATCTCATCATCATCGTGAACAACATCATCGGCATCATCATCGGGACATCATCATCATCGTCACCAGCATCATCACTTCATCATTATCATCGGGACACCATCATCATCAACATCAGCATCATCGTCATCATCAGGCCACCACCATCAAAATCATCATCACCTCAGCATCATCCTCGTCATCAACATCATCATCATCGGGGCAACATCATCGTCATCATCAACATCATCTTCATTGGGACACCATCATCACCATCATCATCATCATGAACAGCATCATCATCAACATCATTCTCATCATCGGGACACCATCATCATCTTCATCATAAGCAGCATCATCATCATCATCATCTCATCATCAACAACATTATCATGATCAGCAACATCATCGCCATCATCATCGGACACCATAATCATCATCATCAGCAACATCAGCATCATCATCATCGGGATACCATCATTATCATCACCACCATGGCCATCATCATCATCATCATCAACATCAACATCAACATCGTCATCATCATCATCATCATCATCATCATCATCATCATCATCGGGACACCGACGGGACACCGGCGGGACACCGGTTGCCGGAAGGGAGATGTTTGGTCCGGCCGCGCCTCAGCCAGAGGCGGAACATTTCTCGCCCGCCCACGCAGCTTCGCCTCGCCCGCACGCACGGCACGCACGAACACGAAACCGAAACCGATTTCCCGGTAGGGGGCTCTCCTTTCCACTTCGATCTCACCCCCTCACCTCCGATATATATATATATATATATAT